TTTAGTTCAAGTTATCTTTTTTTATTTTGCTTGTTATATTAATCTTCTTTTTTAATTTTTGTACTTTTTTATATTAAACTCTTCATACTTGGTTATAGAATGTATTCTATACTGTTCTTGTCACTATATCTATACACCTTTGTGTTATCTGTTAATTTAGAATCTGACTAATTCTTTTTCTAACTTTATTCATTATTAGTTGATTTATCAAAACCCTTCTATTAGTAATTTCTTCTGCTTCTGTTTTTTCAAATAGTATCTTATATAGCACTAGAAGCAGAATTTTAACATTTTTATTTTCTTTAAAACTATTACATGCTATTACTATTGCTAACTTTTAGATCCTTTTTTACAAGCTTTTTTGTTTAATGCAACTTGCTAAATGTGTTTGGATTTCCTTTTCACCTTTTTAACATACTTGGCAGTTAGTCATTGTATATATTTCTGATTTTCTTTTATTTAATTCTTTCAGTATATATTATATATTTATTGCTATTGCTCTTCTTGTACTAAGTTTTTTTGTTATGCAGTATGTTCTATTCATTTCTTTTCAAAAGCTTAACTAATTATATCAAGTGTTTTTTATTTCTAGTTCTAGTACTCATATTTGGTTTGTTCCTCTTCAACTGGCTCCAATTCTGGCATTTGTAATTATTTTGCAAAAAAATCTTGTTGGTATATCAATTTTTCTGTTCTATTCTGTCATACTTGATCTTTTCTGTAAATATTGTTCTTTCACATGTTGCTCTTTTTTTTGTGAGTAAATCTGCTTTGTTATTCCACTTATTATTACTGTAACTTTTAACTTTAACTAGTTTTATTCTATTGTCTTTGTTTTTGAATAAACCTACAATATTTATTATTCATATCACATTTTTCTATTTTAGAACTTTGTCATCTTCTGCCTCTTGAATTGCCCTGTTAATGTTCTTTAATACTGCAAGACTATCTGTATGCACTTTTATATTTTTCTCCTCTGATATGATTAAAATTGCTAACTATATTGCTGCTAATTTTGCTGTTATTGCTGAGGGCTAACCTTTGAGTCCCAATACTATTTCTTCCTCTGGTCAGTTTTTTCTATTACTGACTTGCATCCAACCAATATTATATTTTCTATGCTATTTTTCCTTGTTCTTTTATATAATGCTTCATCTGTATAAAGGGTATATTTGTCTTTATTTTTCATCTTGTTTCTTGTTAAAACTTCTATTAAGTAAGCTATAATTTCATTATTTAATTTTTGTTTCTTGATTAATTTTATTTCTAGTTCTTCAACTTCTTTTTCTTTTTTTTATTCTTTTATTATTCTGTTTTCCAGTATTTGTTCTAATATTGCATTAATCTTGTTACTGTCTTTCTTTACTAATGTTTCTGAGATTGCCTTTATATTATTATTTCATTTTATCTACTTTTTACATTTTATCTACTTTTTACAATTATCTGTTATTTGTTCTGTTCTGTTCTTATGCATTTTGCACTTGCTTATCTCAGTATATGTCTTGTCTTCTACTTTTTGCAATAGCCAATGCTCAGCTAAGCTTTTTTTTTTTTTCTTTAATATTTTATTGAGTTGCTGATTGTGTTATGGTCTGTTATAATCTATTCTTTCTTTCTTCTGTCTTCAGATATTTTTGTCTAGTTAATCATTAGTGCCTGTATATTGTAGTTACTAATCTTGTATTAGTTGAGTATTTTTTTACTTATCTGTATTATTAACATCTTTTTTCTATTTTATTAAACCATTTAGTTTTTTTTTTTTACATAATAGTCTTAGAAGACTTTTGAGCTGTCTCTACATGATTAGGTTCTCTCATTTTGTATTTATGAGTTGGTTTAAATGTATTAAACTCTATTTATTTATTGTGCTACTACTTGCTGTTTATAATTTAACTCTAACTAAGTTCCTTATACTTATTCTATAACTATATACTTTTTACAAGTAATTTTCTGTTCTAATATTTATTCTCATCTCTCTTACTTTAACTATTATTTAATAAGCTAAATTGTGCTTTCAATACTTTATTTCTTCTGATCTTCTTTTAGAGTCTCAAATATCTTTTATTAAGTCTGCTTTCTGATACCTTTAAGCTATTCTAAACTTTGTTAGATTATCTAAAGTATCTTTTCTATTAAGTTTTGCAAATAAACTGCTTATTTGCTTTGTTACTATCTCTTAACTTAGTAATTTACAATTTCTCAGATTTTTGTGCTTAATTATGCAGTTGCTTGTTGTTTTCATTATGTTGCACTTATGTTTTGCCAAACATATTATTGGCTGGTGAAACTTGTTAATTATCTTTTCTAATATCTTTGTTAATTGTAAAAGATAATCTAACTTTGAAATTATTATTATATCATTTATATATGCAATTTGGCTTATTAATATTTTTTACATTTAAGAACTTTAACTGTTTGGCTAACTATTTCTTTTGCTTTTTTGCAGACTAGTAACTCTTTTATTCTACTGTTTAATCAAATATCTAATGATTTTACAACTTTGTTTATTGGCTCTTCTATTATTTTATTCTATCCAAATATAATTTTTTTATCTTCTTTTTTCTGTTTAGAGTTTATTGCTATAAGTTTTAATTTAGCTTCATTTATTTTAATATCATTTACTTTAAAGAACTCCTCTGCAATTTCAAGAATTCTTAGCAGTTGATCTTTGCTATCTGTGATTCACATAGTATCATTTGCATAAGCAATTACTGCTTGCCTATATTTTGTGATATAATTAATGTTTATATTTTTTAATGTTTCTTGTTTTACTATATAGCCTAGTAATTTATTTTCTTGAACTCTTTTCAACAATGAATTATAAAAAAGCTGTCAGATTAGTAGAAAAATCATCTTTCCTTAATCTATACTATCTCTTGCTATTATTTCTTCTGTTAGACTATAAGCTGTAATTACTTTAAGTTGATATTTACAAAAGAGATTGATAATATATTTATTGTTCTTTATAGTATTTTAACTCTTCTAAGAGCCACTCCAAGCTTTCCAATAGAACTAAGTCAAATGCCTTTTTTATGTCTTGCAGAAGTATTCATATTTCTTTAGTTTTCTTTTGTGCTTCTTTTATTATCATATTTAGCATATATATTGGTTGCTCTGTTAAGTTGTTAGGCAAACCTGCATAGTTTGGCCCTTTGAGTATTTCTCTTTCTGTAAATATTTTGGCCAGCCTTCTTGTTACTACATTTGTGATTAATTTTCTAAAGATCTCAATTAATACTATTAGTCTAATATTGTTCAAATTATATTTCTAGTTTATATCTTTTAAAATTGTATAGATTTGTGCTATTTTCTACTTTTTTGACATTTCTTCTATTCAGATTTGTGAAAGCTCTAAAAATTTCTGTAATTTCTTCTCTGCTTGTTTTATTAAAATATAGCTTATACCTGAAATTCCTGGGCTGTATTGGCTTTGAGTTTTTTTAATGTCTTTTCATTTTTCTTTTTCTATCTTTTCTTCTAACTTTCTGTATTAGAATTTCTTGATTTATTTTTTTTGGGTTATACACTTATATCTAGCAATGGAAATTTCTAATTATTAATTGATAATAGAAAATTGTTAAATTAATAAATCATTTTTAATAATTAATAATAAAATTATCCAAAATATATTAATAAAAATAATGTAATTAGTATTTTACAAAAATGTACTTGCAGAAATATGTAACAATAATAGAATTTTCAGTTATTATTACAAATTTATTACCACTCAAAGTCATTTTTGACTTATTTATTAAAAAATATCTATTAGTATTACAAAGATTCAATATTTGCTATTATATATTGATATGAAACAATACTATAAGTAAGAAGCATAATTACTGATCAATGCTATTATATATATATTATTGATAAAAAAAATAATAGCATTATATCATTTTTCTCTTTAAGTACTTACAAGAATATTATTTAGCTTATAAAGTAATCAAAAAGCATCTTATTTAAAGTTATAAGATTGGTTCAAAAGATATATAGTAATTTAAAGCTATATTAACATATCTTCAAATAGGTAAAATTAAATACTAATTTGTTATTTAAACATCTAATATCTATTAATTTTTATAGTAATTATCTACTTTGTAGTTATTTAAGTTATATACTTATCTTGGTTAATATTTAGTAAGTCTTCTTATTAGAGTATTTAATATTTTCATATTATTTACTTACACAATCTTAATTAATCTAGATTACAGAAATTGTAATTGAAATAACAATATTTAATTTATTTATATATTATGATATTACTAATAATTAAATAAAGAATAAGTGTGTTAATGTTTTTAATACTTAGCTCTTATATGTATCTATACTACTATTTCTATTTAATTATATTATGAATTAATTGAGAATTAAAAAATTTGAAAAGAGAGATAGTTGGTAAGTTATTTTGATTATCTGGATCTAAATCTTCTATATCATCAATTATGTTTGAAAAAATTTGTTCTAAATTACTTATTATCTTATTTATTTAATAACTATAATTATCTAATTTGTCATCTTTATCTTGCATATTAGTTATTGATATCAAACTAATTTTATCTACTTTGCTTTTTAAATACTAAACAATTTTTGTCATTTTGGCAGTTTTAGAAAACATTAATCAATTACATTGTTCTGTATGAATATTACCTATTAATGACTATACTCTTTCAGATATTGCTAAGTTTGTAATATAGAAAAAAGTCTACAAGCAAACTTAGCTAAATATAGTACATGGATTAATACAGTTTGCCAATACTTTAAAGATAATTTGCCAATACTAAAACAGTTAAGTGATGAATTTTTTTAAAAAATTTTTTTATAATTTTAATACATTAACTATTCATCAATAAATGCATCATTATCTTTTCTAAATATAATAAACAAAATAGACTATATGCATCTTCCTGTAATTGCAAAAGTCTTTTCTCTTTTTTTTCTTTATTATAATAATATGGATGTAAAAACCATGTATTTACAAAAATTAAATTGTAAATTTTCTCTCATATATTATTGATTTTGTTAAACATTAGGTCTTTAAAATCTAAAAAATCATCATTAGATAATTTATCAATAATTTTTCTAAGCCATGCCCAATATTTTGAAATATGTCCAAGTGTTATTTTGTCAGATTCCAAAATTTTAACTATATAATTATATGGTTTTAATATATAGAAAAATTTATCAATTTTTGTTCAAAAATTTGTATCTTCAATTGTATTAATTATTTTATTATGATTATTTTTTTTAATAACTTAAAGATCTAAATCTGTAATAGCTATAACTCACATGCTACTTTGAGTTAATAAAAAAGTCTCTGTGGCATTTAAAAACATTGCCTATCTAGTAATACTAGGATATTTTGGAGGTAGGTTTTTATTTTATTCTAACTCTCTTAATTTAGCTAAAGGCCAATTTGAATTACAAAAATAATTAATTATAAGAAGCATTTTTGAGATTACAGATTCAAATTATTCAGATTTAATAATTTTTTTAACTAATAAATTAGTTTGATGTGTTATACAAGGTATCATTATAATTTTTTTTTTGTAATTCAGAATCATAATTAACCATTCATCATGCTTGTGTCATATTCAAACCACTATCTGACACAAATCCAATATACTTATTATCTAATATATTTCTACTTTTTTATAGACATCAAATATTACATTACCCATATAGTGTTGGTTTGAAAAATTGAAAATTTTCAAAATTTGATTTTGCTGTTTTTTATTTGTAATAATAAAATTAACTAAACTACATTTTAAAACATTTGTCTATCCATCTTCTGACAAAGTTAAAAATTAAGAAACTTTGACAAATTTTTGAATTTTAATCTCTATTTTATTATGTACATTATCTAAAATTTTTGTACTGATCTATTTTCATGATAGTAAAACATATAAAGGTTTTAGCATTTTGAATAATTTTTTAATCTCTTCATTTTCTACAAAGATAAACAAAAAATTCATTAAAATAAAAATTGTTAATGAATTAGTAGATTATTATCTAATAGAGAAGTTTAATTATTATTTAATAGTAAAATTTGATTTGAATTGGTGATATTATTTTCATCTAAAGAAGCATTAATTTGAACATGTTTGTTTTGAATATTTTTTTTAATTAATTTTAATATTGTTAAAGTGTTTTGTACTTCTTTTCTAATTTTTATGCAAGTATTTTTTAAATAATTAGACATTCTTTTAGGAACTTTCAATATTGGATCACAGCAATACATATTGCTTAAAAATGCTTTAAATTAATTAAGTTTTCTCATTCAAAATAATTCCAAATAGAACCTGATTTTTTTGCCATGTTTAGAATTTAATAGCATTTTAATTTAAAAAGTTTAAAATATACTTTTTTTTTGTTTTATATAAGCAAATACAATTATTAAATATTTAGTGAAGTGATTAAATGTTTAGTAAAGCAATTAGATGTTTAATAAAGTGTTTAAATATTTGGCAAAGTATTTAAATATTTAGCAAAGCAATAAGATATTTAGTGATATATATTGTTAACATGTAGTTTTTTCTTTAATTACAGTGATAACAGAAGCTGCTCAACTATAGTATGATGACTATAACTTGACAGGTTTTATAAAAGTCTACACAAAACTTAACAAAATACAGAGTGATTTGGGATTTTAAGACAGAGGCAACAATAAATAGTATATGAAGATACTAAATATTG